TAATAATCAAATCATATTACCTGCTGGACGACGATAAGGTAGACGTGCTATCGGCAGCTATAAAAACGTTAGCGATATAACACACGTGTTTCACGGACGGTGGTTAAACTCGAACTGACTTAGGACTTATTTCGTCTTCCGAAATTGTCATTTATTCATATTATTTTATATTTTTTATCTTTTACGAACATGGAACGACTTATTCCAAATAAACGCTTATTTATTCAAAATCTAAAACAACAATAATTCAATTCATAAGAAATTATAGTTTTTGTTTGTATATAACAATATTCACAATTGTTTTTCTATTATTTTCTTCAACWTTTAAACTTTATTCGTAATTTAAAACTTTCATATTTTTTTAATTCTTAATAATTATTTAATTATTTTTGCGTTTCGCTGTAGAAAACGAATGCCTTTTAGATAGTGCATATCCWATGGATGCGGCTACAAGTACGGAAAAYCTACCGATGTTGAAATACCTAAACAATGCCCGTGGTCCGTAAATACGTGTACTTCTACGGCCATTAACGGCCAACTGGAATGTTTAAAGTATGCGCGGGACAACCAATGTCCGTGGGACGCATCAAMGGCSCGAGCGGCMCTCTCGATGATCTTGAGGTATGCAGTCGATAACGGATGCCCTTTAAATTSAGATATATTARAAATGGTAGCCTTGAGGGGCCCACTAACATTGTTCCAATATCTCCACGAACACGGTGCCCCATGGTCTGTTGAAACGTGTTCCAATGCGGATCAGAAAGGAAACCTGGATTGTTTAATGTAKKMCCGARACCACGGATGTCCTTGGGACATAACGACTTGCACTGCAGCCGTCCGAAGCAACGCATTTGAATGCCTCAGATATGTTGTAGAGAATGGGTGCTCCGTGACCATAGCGGACCCTATCAATGAAGCTGTAAAGCTTGGCAACTTGAGGTATTTAAAATATCTTCATGAACATGTGATAAACATTTTCTTAATTGGATAAAAAAAGATTCATCAAAAATTAATATCGACGACCCCGTGTTTTTGATCAGTAAATATAATTGCATTTGCATCGCTAAAGARGTACACATACCTTCAGACCACGGACACCCATGTTCATGAAGATTTAAATACCTCAAGTTGCCAAGCTTTACAGCCTCATTGATAGGGTCCGCTCTGGTCACGGGGCACCCATTCTCTACAACATATCTGAGGCATTCAAATGCTCTGCTTCGGACCGCTGCAGTGCAAGTCGTTATGTCCCAAGGACATCCGTGGTYTCGGKMMTACATTAAACAATCCAGGTTTCCTTTCTGATCCGCATTGGAACACGTTTCAACAGACCATGGGGCACCGTGTTCGTGGAGATATTGGAACAATGTTAGTGGGCCCCTCAAGGCTACCATTT